AGCATATGTCATTATCTGGACAGACCACAGCAAAACACACCATTCTCCAGCCTACTTGAGACTAACAAACTCTACAGAGCGACAAAAAGGGGAAGTGAAGATTATCAGTGAATGACAGGATAGCTTACATTTTTTTAAGTGTGTTCCTTGCACAGAGCTACCATGTGACTTATTTGTTTGTTTGTTTGTTTATTGTCCTTTGGGGTCATTAAAACTACAACTACACTACAAAGTGCTGTTGGAAAACAGCTGTGTGATGATTCTTTCAAAACAAAACAAAAAATCTCCATTTGTTTTCCATAAAATCAAAAAAATCAAAAAATCAGATCAAATACATTCAATCAATCAATCAATCTATATATCAAATAAATAACACATTTTTTTTTTTTAATTTACAGAAACTGCATGAAGGGCTGTAACATTGAGTTCTGCTGTGAATGAAATATCCTGTGAATAATATAATGTTATATAAACCTCCATGCAAAAAACAACACCAAACGGCTGTATGTTGAGCTTAAGGTTATGGAAATCCCCACAATGATATGAATACACATGTGTGTGTTTGTGTTTGTCACCTAGATACAGTGTTTTTAAACACACGAAATAATGCCTTCTGTCACTTCAAAAAATGCCAAAAGTATTCAAAAGTAATCATTGTTAGGGTAAATTAATTCTAATGAGTTTCATTTCATTTGAATCAGTGCTAGGGCAGGTGCTCCTCTACATAGTAGCATCGCAAACGTTGTGTGTTTATGTAGGGGAAGGTTAGTGAAGCTGAGTGACATATTATATAAAGATACTGTAAGATATTCTTCTGTATCATTTCCAGAGGACATACACACATTATACACTTCCCCGTAAACTCATATCACACACACACACACACACACACACACACACACACACAGGAGTCTGTACACTAATCTGAGCTCCCGAGCACCTATAAATTACTGCTATGCCGCACACAAGATAAACCTGTGAGTGTGTGTTTGTGTGTGTGCTGACCTTGACTAAATGTGAGATCTCAACACTATCACAAAACCCCTCCAGACACACAAACACACACACACACACACACACAGACACACACACACACACAGAGCTTTCCTCTCAATCACTCCCCTCACACCTCCTTCTGAACCCCTGAGGGATCTCCGGCCCGGAGGGATCTTGTTTTGGGAGAAGGTGGGAAATCGGCATTCACACGGAGCCGTGAACCCTGGGAAAGTGTGAGACCTTCTTTAACCAATGACTACAGGTGCACGATATAGTGCTGCTCAAAATATTCTTTACCGAAGGTTGGGGAAATTGAATTATTATTGACACAAATGGTGGAATTACAGGCAATAGCTTTAGCATAAATGAATTAATTTAAAGTATTTCAACCATGAAAAGCATGATTTTGAATCATGAATGTAAGAACAAAGTACACTTCAGTTTTTACGTGTACGCAGGGTCCGCATACAGTGTGCGTGATGTTAGTTTCATCACCAGAATAGTACGCTCGTACTGTACACGCACCATCTGATTTTTGCACATGCAGGTCGCACATGCTCATAGTTAATAGTCAGATCACCAATAAGAATGTAAAATCCATTAATTAGCTTAATTAATTAGCTAGATGCTTTAGTTGAGAGGGTTAAACACACACACATCCCTACTGATGGCACACATTTCCGTTTGCGTCCTCAAAGAAGATTACTGAAGAACACATCATAAGCCAGAGAAACCACAAAGGAACATGAATGCTATTTGGCTTAGAAGAAATTAAAAACAGAAAAACAACTTCTTCTCTCAAGTTTAACGATATTCAATCATTCATGCGAACTGAAGGATGACCAAAGGAAGACGTGCGACGCCTTAACTCATTCCCTTTGACAGCATGAATGACGCTCGCGCTCGTGAACGCAGACAGAGCTCCTCAAACGCTTCAGTTCGGCGCTCTGGCGTGATTTCTGACAATCTGACATCAAATAATGAAAAGGAACTAAGGGCAGGTGTCCAGCTCATTAAGCGAGTCCGTTTGACGCGGTGACTAACGATCTGATCGGGGAAGTATGGTGCTCTCGAGGGGATGAAGACACCCTTGGGAGATATCAGTGGAAAAAAACTAAACCAAAGTGAATCAGGACTTAAGCTAAAATAAACTGGACTCCAGCAACAGATTTGACTCATCAGTGCCTAATTAAAGAGGACAAGAAATAACAAGCCCACACCAGGCTTTAGAGATGGACTGCGAGCGAGCGAGCGAGAGAGAGAGAGAGAGAGAGAGAGAGAGAGAGAGCGAGTGTAATAAAGGGACGTAACATGCCTGGACTCATTAGAAGGGACACGTCTCCGGGGGGTTTGGAGGGGCAGCAGGTGGAAACTCTATACTGTGAGAAATCAAATCGAGACATGAAGAAACAAGCCCCTCTGATCCATTAGCTCGTCTCGGAAATATCATGCAATATTAATCACAACAGTGTATCCCCACGCCGCCTGAATCCTCCGAGCGTGACGTGTAATGTGTGCAGGCGGCCAGCAGGGGCATCTAACTGCACAAACCCTACAGGTGTGTTTACATTTAGAGCTGATAAAGCAAACATACGGCCGCTATAAAGACTCCAGCTGAGCTACTGCACCCTAAACCTGTGGAAAGACCAGATGAATATCCTGCATGAAAAACCTGTATCATCACATTGTTTAAAATTCTGTCTCTCACCCAGAAAGACAGACAGCAGAGCGAGACAGAGGAAAGATCAGTCAGGACTCCCAATTAGTCTGAAGACAGACGGAGGCTTTCAGTATTCACTGTCTCTCGCACACACACACACACACACATTGAAGCAGAACAACCAGTCAGATCATACACACACAGCAAACACTGACACATACACACCCATATCCAGCACTGATTAAAACAAGAGAGAAGAGAAGAGACGGATCATCATAGTAGTCACATTCAGCAGATGAAGTATTACATTCAAACAGCTAGGCACAGTGAAAAGCTATTGTATTGAAAAAGAAAAAGTCCCGTGAACAAACTCCACTGACCCAGAGACACACTTCAACTGTAGAAAACATTACTGAGAGCCATTACTGCGAGTGTGAGAGAGCTACAAAAGAAAAGCTCAACAGAACCTCGACATTCCCATAAATCAACCGGACACCAATACCACCGACAAACAAAACATCCATTGTGAATTTCTTCCTCATTCTTTTGTTCAGAGGACTCGATGGCAGGAATGTGTCACCACACAAAGCTCAAGAGTTACGACAATACAAGAAAAAACCTACTCACTTTCTAGCTCTGCTGGTACATTTGCACTGAGGTCAAAGCCTTGCCTTTAGTATCTTTGCATCTCTTTGACCTGATCTTGTTAATAGAGTGCGTTAGTGACCGTACACATTTTCAGTCGCATCGGAAGTATTTTTCCCATTCATATTTCCCAAAGGGATTTTAATAAAGTCTTTGTTAAAGCGTTATAACAACCCAGGCTCATTGAAAATACATGCCCGTGGTGACGTTTCTGCAACACCAATATTACAGTGCGTGCATTACTGCATGTTTCAAAGTGAAATGTCCAGTGAATGGCGCTAAAACACGCGTTCAATGTGTGACCGTGGCACGTTTTTATTATGTTGCGGCGGTTCAGAATTCAAATGTTCGGATAGTGTCACTATAGGGTTAATGGTCTATGATGTTGGAAAATAGCATTCCCCCTACACCAAACCCAACCCTAAACCAACCCGATAGTGTTAACGAATACTAAAGTGATATAAAAATGCATCCGCCGATGCAACCGTGCTATTTTAACTTATACGTGGCTTTGAGCTGTTTTGTTGAACCGCCAAAACACGCGTTCAATGTGTGACCGTGGCACGTTTTTATTATGTTGCGGCGGTTCAGAATTCAAATGTTTGGATAGTGTCACTATAGGGTTAATGGTCTATGATGTTGGAAAATAGCATTCCCCCTACACCAAACCCAACCCTAAACCAACCCGATAGTGTTAACGAATACTAAAGTGATATAAAAATGCATCCGCCGATGCAACCGTGCTATTTTAACTTATACGTGGCTTTGAGCTGTTTTGTTGAACCGTAGTTTCACGGGATGCATACCGGAGCGCTTCACCGCACAAGCTACCAAGCAAACCTGCTGCATTAGAAAACCCACACATATGAAGCTGTATATGTGACACTAATGTTCAAAAGTATCAGATTTCAGATCTTGCAGCATGTTAAAATTGTTGTAAAGTCATAACCTAATATTGTGCAAAAATTAGGCTTTCCTAAAGGAAAATCTGGCCCTGTAAATCGTACTTTGTGTGAAAAGGAAGAAAGTTTGTTGGAGTTTTACTGCCTCTAGTGTTCATTTCAACTGGAAACAGCAGCGATTTGTATGTATAGATACGCTTTTTGAGTTTTGCAAAAATGTAGATAAAGGCACATATTTTCAATGAGCCTGGGTAGCATTATAAGCCACGAACCAAACCAACTAGCTACAAGGAGAGTCACAAAGGTACAGACCTAAAGTATTTGAAAATCAGTCAAAAAATAAAGGTCTATGAACTACACGGTTTAGGGAAATAACTACAATTACATGAAGCATTGTGAATGACATAATTGAGTTCAAAAATAACTATTGGTTTAAGGTTGTTGTGTATATATATATATATATATAAAGTATTTTGAGAGTGTATCATTACGTTATTTGTGGTGCTTTCCCTGCCAAGCTCTTTTGGTGCGATTGGCTTGCTACGACTCAGCTGTTAAACATAAGTTGTTTTTAAAAACAAGTTGCAATAATGTGAATGGATGGCTTCAACAAAAGCATATACCATTGATTAACAGCCTCAGAGCTCACAGTTGGTCTTTCTTTAAAGGTTTATAAGTTATCATTAAAAATCAATTCCCCTTTGCAGAAAATGTTTTTACTTCCGGAACCCGACTGTTCGGTTCTATAGAAAACGAACTCTCACTGCATCTTTTGATTGACTGAACAATTTGCATACCTGATACTCATTGGGCCAAAAAGTGCTGACAGCGAGCTCCGCCTTCATCCAGCCTTTGCCTGTGCAGGAAGTGACGTTCCAGATGGGATTGGCCAGCGGCCCTTTATTGACCTTCACCAGGATGTTGAGCGTCCCGGGGCTGGAGCCGTCGGGGCAGTACAGGAGATAATTGAAGTCGATGCAGTGAGTGTCGTTTTCTTTCATCACGGGCATCTGCAGGCGAGCCTTTTCTCCGTAATCGTGCTGCGAGGTGCCCACCATCATGTACGAGCCTGGAGGGCAACAAAAAACGGAGAGAGGAAACACACGTGAGCTGGGAAGAACTCGACGAATATGAGCTCTTTTCTAAACCCTAGCAAGCTGCCTTGCCGTCTACTCCCTACATAGGCAGCGTCCTCACCAAAATGGAGCCTCATTAGTGAGTGACTTGGAGCTCTGCATAAGCAGCATTGTGACACTAACAACAATATGAATAAAATATATTTGTAGTCGACATTTCCCATCTTTTTTTTTTTTACTGTTGTAACGCATTCTGGGATCAACGATTCAATTAATCTTAAAATCAAGATTGACTTTTTTTACTTTATGCATGAGATTTTTCTCTGAACTCAACAGGTCTGTATATTCCCAAACGAACTGAATCGAGGACTTGTGCAACAAATCTGAATTAGTTCCCCAGCTCTCTGGTTTTGAACCAGATTTTGAACCAGTAAACCACATGAAAAACCTTTCAAAATGTTGAAAAAAGTGAAGAAAACAGATCGTTTGAGAAATCATGTGGGATTCTAGCAGGAACACCAAAATATAAACTCAGGCATGAGGACACAATATTTTTGAAGTTCAGAATCAAAGACTCACTCGTACACTCGGCAGTTGGCCGTGTGCTGATTACTGAACGCTTTTATAATCACTCCACCGGAGAAACGGTTCCACGCTATCGGCCAAGATGCACAGGGCCATATAGGATCTGGTTCCAGTTCTTTAAGCATGTGATTGCACTGAGAGGAAACCGTTTCAAATCTCAAACGCCAAGAGGATGGACATCAGGCGGAGAGAGGACAGACTTCACCACCATTTGTCCAAATGAGCATACATCTGTTCATCTGTCTCTCCACGGCCAGGAAGAGAGATGACTAGCTCTCTCTCTTTGATCCTCATCTTCTGTCAGAGATAAAGTCTACATGCAATCCATCCTCTTTACTGCCTAAACAAACGCCCCTGGCCATGCTGTGTGCAGTTCATCAGCTGCGTGATATTCCAGATTCAGACTCTTTTTTTTTTCTCTCTGGTGTAACTATTTGTCATGTGGGTGGGGAAAAATAATCGTACATAAAACATGATGGCCTGATGCTCCGCTGCACTCAAGGCCGTTGTAAAATGCGGATAAACACATACCTGTGAGCACACATTCGATCTTTATGAAACAAAATGATTCATATATTCATTCTTACATAAACGATTGCATCCAATGGGACAATTTAAGCAGAAATGGATTTAAGAACCATTCAGTCTGCTCAAGTCTAATGAATAAGACGTTTTACAATATGTCAGTAAGATATTTAGTAAGTAATTCACATTTCATTCAGCAAAGTCTATTTCAAATAAATGCTGCTCTTTTGAACTTTCTATTCAACTGTGAATTCCGAAAAATAAAATGTATCATGGTTTCCACAAAAATATTTTCAACATTGATTATAATCAGAAATCTTTCTCGAGCAGCAAATCAGCATATTAGAATGATTTCTGAAGATCATGTGACACTGAAGACTGGAGTTATGATGCTGAAAATACAGCTTTGATCACAGGAATAAATTACATTTTGCAATATATTATAATACAGTTCTTATAAATTGTAAACAGACTTCACCACCATTTGTCCAAATGAGCATACATCTGTTCATCTGTCTCTCCACGGCCAGGAAGAGAGATGACTAGCTCTCTCTCTTTGATCCTCATCTTCTGTCAGAGATAAAGTCTACATGCAATCCATCCTCTTTACTGCCTAAACAAACGCCCCTGGCCATGCTGTGTGCAGTTCATCAGCTGCGTGATATTCCAGATTCAGACTCTTTTTTTTTTCTCTCTGGTGTAACTATTTGTCATGTGGGTGGGGAAAAATAATCGTACATAAAACATGATGGCCTGATGCTCCGCTGCACTCAAGGCCGTTGTAAAATGCGGATAAACACATACCTGTGAGCACACATTCGATCTTTATGAAACAAAATGATTCATATATTCATTCTTACATAAACGATTGCATCCAATGGGACAATTTAAGCAGAAATGGATTTAAGAACCATTCAGTCTGCTCAAGTCTAATGAATAAGACGTTTTACAATATGTCAGTAAGATATTTAGTAAGTAATTCACATTTCATTCAGCAAAGTCTATTTCAAATAAATGCTGCTCTTTTGAACTTTCTATTCAACTGTGAATTCCGAAAAATAAAATGTATCATGGTTTCCACAAAAATATTTTCAACATTGATTATAATCAGAAATGTTTCTCGAGCAGCAAATCAGCATATTAGAATGATTTCTGAAGATCATGTGACACTGAAGACTGGAGTTATGATGCTGAAAATACAGCTTTGATCACAGGAATAAATTACATTTTGCAATATATTATAATACAGTTCTTATAAATTGTAAAAAAAAATTCACAACTGTTTTACTGTATTTTTACAAAAATACTATCATAAACTAGGTTAGTGGATAATTCAGCAGCAAAAGATACTCTAGAAAAATCGTGGGTGCACAATGATTTTATAAAATCTAAACATTTAGTGAAACAACATTATTTAGTGGGGAACAAATAAAAGTTAATAAGTAAAGGACTAAATCTGGTAAAATGTTACACATTGCTCTTTGTATTGTTGTAAAATACATTCATGAAAAAAAGTAAATATATCAGAAAATGCCAGTATCGGAGCCAATACCGATACTGAGTATCAGTTCGATGCATCCCTAAACACAAGACATGTTATAGCTCTTGAAAAATAATTGAAAAAAAATCTGAAAAAAATAAATGGCGTGTATTTTGAGAGTCTAAAAGCGTTTGCAATGTTTCATTCCTTTACTAAAAACATTTTTTAGACATTTTTATACATCTCTTCCAGGTCAAAATGTCCTGAATGCATTATGAGGGTTAAAAATAAGGAAATGTGTTTCTGTCCTTCAGGTTCGGATGGACACCTGTATAAACGCGCCTCCTCTGATGTTTTCTACGATGACGATAACGACATGAAACCTGTGCATGAGATGCAAACGTCCTATACGAACGTCACCGCTGAATGTAGAGCGCGCCTGCAGGTCACAAGTGCAGGCGGCAGTCCTCTGAGCTCCCCGCGCCATCAAATGCATCCTATTGCATTGAGCCGAACTGCATTTCACCAATCAGAGGAGGCGATGGCATCTCCTGCCAAACCAGACGACATACTTCCTGCCGTGTCCATGCAGCCGCGTGTCACTTCCTGTCAGGGTGCGGCGTCACACGTGCCATCGAAGAGCTTCGGACCGGAGCAGCATCCAGACTGGCCCACAGAGAAGTGGCAAATATGGCAACTCCTGTCATCAGACAGCATAGACACACTTCCGGAGACTATGGTGTGAAACACGCAGCTTAAAGGGACAGTTCACCCAAAAATGAACTTACTGTCATCAAAAGAAGATATTTGAAGGACCCCATTGGCTTTCATTGAATGAGGCATTTCTCAAGATATTTTCTTTTATGTTCCACAGAAGAAGAAAAAGGCATACGGGTTTGGAATGAGTGAAGGATGACAGAATTATAATTTTTTGGGTGAACTGTCCCTTTAAGAACCTTTTAATTTGAAAGTCAATTTGAATTGAATTGGACGCAACACACAGAATGTTGGATTAGAATTTGAATTGGAATGAGAGGAAGCACCGCAAAATGTTAGTGCATTGTTTACAGATAATTTTATACAAATAATTATTGATATTAAAATTGTGGATGAATATTTTAATGTTTTACATTTAAGTTTGGGGTCATAATGATTTTTTTTTTTTTTTACAAAAATTAATAATTGTATTTATCTATGATGCATTAAATTGGTCAAAATTGACAGTAAAGACATAATGCTACAAAAGATTTATATCTCAAATAAATGCTGCTCTTTTGAACTTTCTATTCAACTGTGAATTCCGAAAAATAAAATGTATCATGGTTTCCACAAAAATATTTTCAACATTGATTATAATCAGAAATGTTTCTCGAGCAGCAAATCAGCATATTAGAATGATTTCTGAAGATCATGTGACACTGAAGACTGGAGTTATGATGCTGAAAATACAGCTTTGATCACAGGAATAAATTACATTTTGCAATATATTATAATACAGTTCTTATAAATTGTAAAAAAAAATTCACAACTGTTTTACTGTATTTTTTATCAAATAAATGTAGCCTTTTGAGCAGAAAAAAACTCCTTTCAAAATTATTTTAAAAAATCTTACCAACCCCTAACTATTAAACAGTATTTTCTATATCACCTGGTGGAACAATTTTACTACAATTATTATTATTAATACATGTAAATATTATTTGAATATGAGGCTGTGCACTTGATTTTACTATCAAAAACACCTCTCACTTGTTGAAACCCACAACATAAAGGCTTATATTAACCAATAATATACACGCTTAATATCCACCAGATCCCAATGACTGAAGTGAGTTACATAACACTGCATACATTAATGTTGTGAATGCAGTTTCATGAACATATAATATATAATCTCCACTCTTAACAATCACAGTACTGTAGAGGACATCCAGTCTGGTGTTTTCCAAACACTGCTGCTCCTCTTTAATTTCCATAGAAATAGCAAATGTCTGAAGCAGTGGTCGTTTAGACTCGGGGATAGACTGTTCATTCAGGACACAGATGTAATGCTGTAGATGTTTCCAGGCAGAGCTTTCATTTGGGCTTTATTTACAGATGAGACTCGTCCATGAGATCTTCTAGGAGCTGCTGTGAGAACATCTGTTTCTCTCTCTCAACAGGTGAGTTCTGGGTGAAAGTAAGCCTCTTGCTTTTATAAGTATAGAGTTTAGATCAGACCATCAGGATGTGAGAGATGGCAAATCAAAGGCAAATTGGCCAAGAGCTGCTGGCAACCCTACAATTCATATCTATCTCCTGATTTCACTGCAAACAAAACAAAAAAACTAAAATAAAGTACTCCATACAGGATTTTGAATACAAAATAAAGTTCTGATTGGTTGTACTAACACCTGCTTTTCA